GATAAAAAAAATGCATATTGATCGATATCGATAATTATTGAAAAGATTTGAAACCATATTTTATGTGCAGCTCTGCCTGGACTTTTTATAATATTGCTAAATGATTTAATTTTAATAAAAAACACAAACACAGACTTCGAATTAAATCTTTATTTAACCAACTTTTTTAACCATAACAGAATTGTTTTAAAGAAAAATAACTTAAGAGACCTGAGTTATGTTATTAAATACTGACAAAGAATAAACTAAAATGACCAGAAAAGTTACCAAAATAAATATAACAAATAAATAAATGCCCCCCGACCGCCGCCGCCGCCCCCGTTTCCTGCTTTAACCTGAGTTATTACTTTGAAGTTTCTGGCCCCTCAGCTTTTTTCTCTCAATTGTTAGAACTACGTGGGAAACTGCCCAGAACTGAAAATATATATATATTTTCCCGAAATTCCCGAAGATTCCTCGGAGGAGAGCCGCGCCGGGGCCTACACAGCTCGTACTCCTGCGGGTGTGAGTGGCTGAGATGATAAAAAAAAAAAAAAAAGTTGGTTGTGTTACCAGACTTGGTTTTCACTGGTTCCCGACACATTTTCCAGATGACTGTGGTTTGTTTTTAGTCCGACTTGCCATGACCGAAATACTGCCAGACTGCCGAACTACAAAAACCCTTCTTTGGAACAATTTCCTCCGCCTCTCCTTGCTGCATCTTCATGTGCTCTGTGTTGTGGTTTGAGAGGGCGGAGCTTTGTGACGGCGTGCCTGGGTCCGCGATTGTGATTGGTTGGGAGGAAGCAGTGATTAGCATAAACCTACATGATAGGCTACAATGAGAAGGAAGGAAAACTGCGTTTCTTTTTTATCGAACTTTTATCGACCCTCTTTTTTTCTATTTCGCCACACGTCTATCGATCGATATATATCGTTATTGAATTATCGCCCAGCCCTACGACGAAGGGTTGCAGAACCTCTGCATGGGGGTGAGACAGATTTGACGGATGCATAGGCTATGCGTCAGAAGCATAAATTGGCCTTTAGAATGCAGTGTTTTCCTTTAAGACTGACAATAATTGTTTTCTAGTTTTAGCTACTTTAGATCGCCGATGAAATGTAATATAGCAAATAAAGGTATTAATATGTCGGGACTTCAACAATTTTATCCTTAAGAAACGTACAGTTTGTCTGAGTGGAGTTGTCATATGTTGACGTCATAAGAAGGGGCAGGGCCCCGAGCAGATCTGGTATCTACACCAATTCAATTTCAATTCAGTTTATTTCTATAGTGCCAATTCACAACACATGTCGTCTCAAGGCACTTTACAGAGACAATTCAACCAGATCATCCAGTCAAATTGATTCAAAGTTTTCTATCTAAGGAAAACCAGTAGATTGCATTGACTCAAATGCAATCCCTCACACTAAGCATGCTTGTAGCGACAGTGGAGAGAAAAAACTCCCTTTTAACACGAAGAAACATCCAGCAGAACCAGGCTGAGTGTGAGCGGCCATCTCCTGAGGCGGACTGGGGTTTAAGGAGACAGAAGCAGAGACATAAAAGCAGCTGCAAAAGGCGGCCCCGTCCAGGAAACACACAGCCAGGCAGACGAGCTCCGAGCCAGATCCCATGCCAGAGGACGAAGAGAGCACATCCAGCCAGTGATGGTCAGAGAAACAGGACTACACTGGAAAACAGGCCGATCTCCAGCATCTATAAACAAGGGTGTTGATGGAAGCAGCACAGCAAAGGTCACCAGCCTGGTGACCTTTGCATGTCTCCCCCCTTGCTCTGCTCACATTTCCTTTCTGCCTGCTTTAAAAAAAATGAAGGTCATGAGAGCCAGAAAATAATACAAAAAACAACAAATTTAAGTCAGGAAAAATATATGAATTGGATTTTGTAGAAACAACATGGAGATTAGGTTTTTAAGCCATATACGCCAAACCTTAGAATGATTTATTCATTAATAATTAGTTAAGAAGTTTGGTGCAAAGCATGTCCTAACTACAGGAAAAAGATTCCACACAGCCCATCAAGTCAATGGTAGAAACACTTAAAAAGAGAATAAACAGACGTGTTGCAATGACCCAAAGTGATGTAATGTCCAAAGTCCAGAATTTCTGTGGCGTGACTTTAGGAGAATATAACGAAGAGGAGAGCTTACAAAGAACAGCTAAGTATTGGCTGCTAAAGATATTCTGGGACTCATTTCCATGACACCTTGACAGTGAAAGGCCTAAAACTGACGGGTTTGTTGCTTTCCCAGATTAAACAGGTGCTTTCAGGGTGTAGTGCTTTATCGACCAAAACAGACACATGGCGCTTAGCTCCGACTCAGCAGCGCCTTTTCTTTCCACACAGGCTGAAATAAAGACATGCTGCGTTTTAACCCCCTTAAATGATTATCTGAAGCGACCTTGTGTCTGCAGCATGTACCGTCCAGATGCCGTGTCAGCAGGGCAGTTGTTGACAGAGGTTTTGAGCGCTGCCATCTGACATGGCTGTCCCAATTAGAAAAAGTGCTTCCCACACATCATAGCATGTGGCTGCAGCATTTCATGCTGGGACTGTATGATAGTGATTTAATCATAATTAAGTTCATGCATGCATGACTGGATGTACACCTCTAATGTGGGCGCCTTTTCATCTGATTGCAAAAACTGGGGCATGGTTGGGAAATATATATCGGGGGGGGGAGTTTGTGCAGACCTTTGGCTAATAAATAACTAGTTTGTGTTTTGTGTTACTGTGCTGGTAGGAGGTTCTTTTGCTGGGACAGAAGTAAACAGCTGCTTCCTCTGGGTTTCCTGTTGTTGAGCGAGCTGTGGAGCTGTCTCTTGCATGCCTTCTTTGAGCTCACATCAGCAAAAGGAAATGCCTTACATGTCCCGAGATGGAAGCCCCCAGTTTAGCGCAGGAATGTGGGGAATACCTAGGCTTTGCAGAGCGTTCTTAGTCAGGATGAGTCTGATCGGCTCGGAGGTGTGAACGAAAAGTTGTAGGGAAATCATATTTAAATGTCATTCTGGTTTAAACATGTTTATAAATGTATTCTTTATCAGATCATGTTGTCCCAAAATTTACAAAATTTCTATTTAAAAAAAAATCCTCTTAAAATCAGTTTTTTTTTTGTCGTTATCTTATGCAGGCCAGTTAGTTGTACGTCAGCTTGTACACCAAAATTCGGCCAATCATATATCAACGGTCATCTGACAATCAAATGTTTTCGCTCATAGCATCTTGATTCATATGTCGCAGCTAATATATGCAACGGTTCAAATTAGAAATCAGAATCATTTCCTTTCACATTGAGTTCCGTCCCAGTGTTCACGTAACCTGACTCCGCCAGATTGATTTGCTCCGCATATCCATCTGGAAACCTTCCGTTGAAGTAATTTTGGGAAGGGGCGAAAATACTGGTTAGCTGATTGGCCTATGTTGGTGATAGACGGGCCAAATAAACCAGTCAGATCAACGAAGCATACGACGTACTAACAGAGCGACGACGAAGAGGAGCCAATTGATAGATCAAACTCTTGCCGAAACCAGTTGGGGGAAGAGCAAAAACATCTTTTCCTCTGAGAAAAGCCTCCAGAACAGTGTTTTGCTCTTCTTTCAGTGAAGAAATACTCTGTAATTCCGATAAAACTTGCTCGATAGCCACGCTAACGCTAGTTTCATCGGCTGAAGCCGCCATGTTCTTTAGACTGAACTGATGCACTTCTCGTTGCGTCACACCTCAACCCGCCTCAAAGCCAACGCTAATTGGACGTTTGTTTGGTGAACGGCTCCAAATTTTCTTTAACGGAGAGTCTCCAGACTGATCTGCGAGATCAGGATGGTCTCACGAGGCCAGTGTTCACGGGGATGGACGTCTTTGTCTTTGGGAGGCGTAGAGCTAACAGAACTGGCAGCGTTTTGAGGCAAGGGCTCAAACATGTACGGCTGGAAGCCTTCTACACCAAATCAAGCTTCTGCCGCCCTGGCGTCCTCTTCCACAACATCTTCGTCCCCGCTTTCCTCCTCTAAATAGACAATGGATGACGGAGGAGACTCATCTACGACCTCCGACACTAAACTCTCCTCCTCTTGCATGTTTCCGCTGTCCATAGCGTTCCTTGACAGCGTTGTTTCTAAGTCACCAATTTAGTGCTACTTGGTCCCAATGGAATTTCCCATTGGGAACCTGCTAGCACTAAGTTGCTAACTGGTTAGCAAGATGCTGCTGAGAAACTGTCCACAATCTAAATTGTTTGCGAACCTTCCACCACAACAATCCCGCCCCCTTGATAAACGACCAATCACATTCACTTTATTCACTCGTGTAAAGTCGGGCACCACTTGGAAGATTTCGGAAATGCAACGGTTGGAACAGCCGCTTCCGTACGAGTTTAATCTGATGGGCGAGCTGAAGCTTTCTGGTCCGATCTGTGATCTGCAAACAGATCAGACCAATGTTTTTGTTTAGTGGGAAGATACTTCCTCTGTTCAGATTAAGGACTGTGACTTTATTCTGGTAATATTGTGAGATTTATCTTATAATGTTAAAATTTAATTTATCACAATGGTACAACTTTATTCTGGTAAGATTTAGTAAGATCCTGATTGTTGTGGGTGGGTTAAACTGGATTGACTGGAAGTAATCCCGCTAGATTGAGTTTGCTTTGGGGTAAGGGTATCTGTAGAGAACATGTCAGAGACCACAAAAGATTTCATTTGGCATAGCTTTACTTTTCATCAGAATAAGGCCCAAACCAATCGGCCACAGCTACAATGACATCATATAGTTTAAGGTGTACTCCTTTGTTACAGATGACTGATAAACGACCAGACCTAGATTATACTTTTTTTTTTTTTTATCATCTGAAACTTTTTCCTGGCTCTTTGTGCAAAATGGTTTAACCGTCATGTGAATTCTGAATATTTCAAACAAAAAGATCAGTGGATTATAAATTGCATGCTTAATTTACTGTACCACTTTGTGACCTCATTCTATTTCATTGTTTTGCAGCTAAATACAGAGAGGAATTCAAGCTCATCATTGACCGAATAGCTGTGGTGAAGTCAGAGAATGTAAGTGAACTCTGAAGATATTTTTACCTTTTGTGGCAAAAAGCCTTTCCCATTAATATTACAAACCATGCTGACTTAGGACTGGCATTTATTACAGCTAAGAGATAAGAGGATATTAAAGAGAATGGACTAAAAATAATGTTTCTTGTTCCACAGTGGAGAAATTCAAGTGTCCAAAGAGCATGAAGGCATAAAATATATTTATAAACAGAAGCCACAGTGAGGTGATATAAGTTAGAGATAAAATGTTCATTTTCAAAAAAATGTAATCGATCAAATTTTTTTTATCTTTTAGTTTCACGATAAAGATGTCTATATATAAATGACTAGATATATTTTTAATGATTTTTCATGTCAATATGAATCTCTTGGTGCGTATCAATGCTCCATGCTGACTGCTACTGAGAGTTAGCCTCGTGAGACCATCCTGATCTCCCGAGCTTTCAAGGTTTCACTCGCTAATCAGTCTGGAGACTCTCCGTTAAAGAAAATTTGGAGCCGTTCACCAAACGAACGTCCAATCAGCGTTGGCTTTGAGGCGGGTTGAGGTGTGACGCAACGAGAAGCGCGACAGTTCAGTCTAAAGAACATGGCGGCTTCAGCCGATGAAACTAGCGTTAGCGTGGCTATCGAGCAAGTTTTATCGGAATTACAGAGTATTTCTTCACTGAAAGAAGAGCAAAACACTGCTCTGGAGGCTTTTCTCAGAGGAAAAGATGTTTTTGCTCTTCTCCCGACTGGTTTCGGCAAGAGTTTGATCTATCAATTGGCTCCTCTTCGTCGTCGCTCTGTTAGTACGTCATATGCTTCGTTGATCTGATTGGTTTATTTGGCCCGTCTATCACGAACATAGGCCAATCAGCTAACCAGTATTTTCGCCCCTTCCCAAAATTACTTCAACGGAAGGTTTCCAGATGGATATGCGGAGCAAATCCATCTGCCGGAGTCAGCTTAACTGAGAGCAGGACTGACCAGAGCCTCCATGGTGGCCCAGTACTCGAGTAGAGGGGGGATGGCATCCCCCTTGTTAAAAAAATCTTAAAAATCATCCCCCTTTTTAAATGACCATACCATCCCCTGTGACATTTTATCACTGAGTGTGTAAATTTCTACTATATATTAACAGTAATACCAATAATATTGTCCTTTCAACATTTGGCGGGCTGCACTGTTCTGATCAGCATCACGGCGAAGCGACAAAGACAATGTGAGGGAATGTGAAAATAAGGAGAGGAGAGAATCTTTTGCAGGGTCCATGTTCTAAGCTGCAGAAATCTCCCTCCCCTGCCTAGTTTGAGAAATAATGAGTTTACAATTATGCAAGTTTCTCCACGTAATCATACCTGGTGATTGAGGAAAAATCCACACAAAAACGCTTAAGTCGTGCTGCACCGTTCTGGACTAACTGCAAGCGGAAAGGTGCTTTGTGGCTAATGCCCCAATAAAGTGCGTTGCAGTAGTCCAGACGACTTGAATTAAATGCATGCACGACTTGCTCTAAAAGATAAAAACGGCTTTACTTTGGATGTGCTGGTAAAAATTCTCAGTCACCCAGGTCAGTCATTCCAAAAAAAGTAAAAAACAATCCACTGGACTTTGTTTCCAAATTTGAAGGCATTCTGTTTCCCATCCAGGAAGCTTTTTGAATTCAAAATATCAGGATTAGCGTTGAGTTGGAGGTTTTATACATAAAGGGCTACTGTATAAAACCTTGAACTCAACGCTATTCCTGACATTTTGGATTCAAAAAGCTTCCTGGATGGGAAACAGAATGCCTTCAAATTTGGAAACAAAGTCCAGTGGATTGATTTTTTAAAAACTTTTTTTGGAGATTTACTTTGGATAGAAGACAAAGATAATAAAACCTGATTTTAAAACACCATTGATTTGTTTATCGAATTTAGAATCACTATCTATGATGACGCCAAGGCTGGTGACTTTGGGACGCAAATACTTTTGGAGAGATCCCAAGTTCATGTGGAAGTTCCAGCACAGGTTTAGCGCTCCAGTGGCTAAAAATTTCATAGTATTGCTTTAATCAAGACTACTTAAAAACAGACACTTTTTACAGTTCAGGTCACTTTTCTAAGTAAAATAAAAAGCATATACCTTTCTATCATTTATTTTTATTTTCAACCGTATTTGCTGCATTGTGAGGATAATTTCAAGCCTTGTTTTCCTGTTACACTTTCATAGGGAGAGAAATATCTCATCCTAAAGAAGAAGTACAGACACTTGATGCAGGAGCGGGAAACTAAACATCATGGGCCAGACGGAGAGCCAGAGAGACGTCAGAGCCCGGCCACTGCAGAGTGGGACACCCAGACAGCATCACCCTGCAAGAAGGAAGAGCAGGAGGAGCCAATGTCATGTGGAGAACATGAAGAAGAGGTGAGTTTTAGAGTTCTGTTCAAAATGTTAAACGGCTAAAAACTAAAGCAATGAGGGGGTCATGATTCAGAACGATGCTGGGTTCTATAAGCTGCCATTGTTGCAGTTCTGCATCTGTTTATTCTTCATGTATTGGATGCATTTGTTCTGAACAAGGCCCGTGTTGTCAGTGCACTCTGCTTTTTTTCTGCAGCCTGTGTCGGCCTTGAATGAATGAATGTTTGTTTGCACTGAAAGCCGCTGACAGGGAATAATAAAGCTTTTTTACTGTGGTGAACCCAAGATGACTAAAACAAGAGGAAGGGTCAAAGATTTTAAGCCTAAAAAATACCAAAAACAGAAACAAAAACAACCGAAATAAAAAAAACAGAGCTCTTTGAGAAAAGTCTCATAAACAGATGTCTGCTGGGAGTATTGATGTATGTTAATGGAATTAAGACAATAATCTATGGAGTGTTTTATTCCCTGTTGTTGCAAGCAAAATCATAGCTTGTAAATAAAAGTTTGAAAAAACGTCTTTATCAGAACAGGGAAAGTAACTTCTGTTTTCTCTGATATTTTTTTGTTTTTTTTTTAGATTTTTTTCCCCTTGATTTTATTTTTTAGGTAGTTTTTTCTCTTTTTTTATATATTTTATTTCTTTATTTCTCTTTAAATTTTTGGAATTGCATTTTACAGATTCTATTCACTCACCTCTGGAGGGAAGAGCAAAGAACAGTTTAATCAGCCTGCATGAACTTTAGCGCCAACATTTTGAGCTTGAAGTGAAGAGAATCTGTAACACAGAACTAGCTAGATTCAAGTTCTAAACCTTAATCTAAAAATTAATATCTGAATAAAAAATCATAATCTATCTGTAAAAAAAAAAAAAAAAAAAAAAAAAAAAAAAAAAAAAATGCAGTTCGAAAAAAAATGGGAGAAAAAAAAAAAACATCTAAAAAATGACATCTGAGAAAACAGCAGACTTACCCTCAAAACATTTATTTGCTTAATAAGTTTCATTTCTGGATTTCATTTATTTTCTTTTTTTATGTCCATTTTTTAATGTTCAACGCTTGCAACAATAATGGAACCAAATTCACTCCATATTGCCCCATTATAAGTTTGGAAGATCAAACTTTTATTAATGTTTTCACAAATATGGTTCAAAGCAGCACAAACGCAACCATGTGCTGCCCACACCCAGTTTCAGTTCAAAAGAAAGCGAGAATAAAAAGCATGATGTCGATCTAACTGAGTGAACACTGTAATCGCACAGCTGCACCGGGCGAACCCAGCTAACCATGAATTAACAGTGGCGCTTAAACATCTCCATCCACTCATAACATTCATTACATTCCAGGGATTGAAAGATATTTTATTTCAGGATTATTTTAGTATGTAATTAATTAATAAAAAAAAATAAAAGGAAATTTATTTTAAGTTCTTATATCCTCATTATAAGCCTTTGAAAGTCAACTATAGGCAAATATATGATGAAAGAATGCCTTTACATATATGTGGATATTAATTTGTCATAAAATATAAACGTCTTCTTCCAACCAGTGGACAAACACAGCCTCTACTGTACGGGTTGTAACCTATTTAATGACGTCTTCGTATTACGTCACTTTCTTGGTCTGAACATAGTTCTAGACCTCTCAAAGCCAAGAAGCAGATTTTCACTTATTAAAAACTTGCTAAAAAAGAAAAGTTGCCGCCCTGTACAGATTAGCATTTAAAAGAGACACATTTTTCGACTTCGAGCTCTGCCTCACTTCACCCCTTCCTGATCAGAGAAAGTGGGTGCTTGTTTAGAGTGCAGGCGCAGCCGGTTAAGGTAGGTGCTTCCATGAGAGAGATATTCTTCAACCACTAATTTTCACTACTGCTGAATAGACAGTAAAACTCATGAGGATTACTCAGAGATTCATCAAGCAAGCAATTTAGCCCCTTATGCACGATTATGGGTGAAGAATTAGCATTAGAGCACAGTTTGAGCCAGGGGTGTCAAACTGGTTCCAGAAGGGGCCGTGTGCCTGCAGGTTTTCTTTCCAACCAAGCAATAGCACACCAGACTCCAGTCATCTCATCAAGTCATCATGTTCAGATTGGACTCCCTTGATTGGTGTGCTATTGCTTGGTTAGAAAGAAAACCTGCAACCACATGTCCGCTTCTGGAACCAGTTTGACAACCCTGGCTTAAGTACCATTGTGCGTAAGATTTAGCTCCATCTAGTGGTGCCCTGACTGAATTACAAATGACAAAAAAGCATGCATGATACTACGGAAGCTGCAGAGTAGAGACTGACACGGGAGTGGATTTTCACTCCTGTCCCGTCCCACTCCCACAGAAAAAAATTGTGTCCCGTCCCGATCCCGGGCCAGAGTAGAAATCTAAATCCTGTCCCGTCCCACTCCTGGTGAAATTACTCCCACTCCCATCCTGCTCCCATTCAGAATGACTCCCGCTCCTGCACCACTCCCATTCTTGTTGTTTTTGAGCACGGGTGAAAAACTCCAAGCGGAAGCACTGTTGGTTTTTGGGTCGTGTAGTTTTTTTTGACTCGCATTATAGTTTAGGTTTCAAGGAAAAAAACTACAAAATGGCGGCGCCGCGCCAGTACTGGATTTTTTTTGTTTTTATTTTATTTTTTGGCATCGATCCTAGTTTTTTTTTAGTTACTATTGGTTTGCTCCCGCTCCCGTCTGCTCCCGTTAATGTTTAATCCTGTACCGTCCCAATCACGTGATCGTTGCTAATACTGACTCCCATCCCCTGACCTGTGGGATTCCCGAAAAAATGTCAGTCTCTACTGCAGAGTGACATTCTGTTCTTAATGAAAGGAGAGGACACATCAACACACCTTTCAGTAACACTAGTGGAGAGATAAGCGCCTAAAATCAGGTGAAAATTAACTCTGGTTTTAGTTCAAGAAGGCAACAAAAATATTTTATTTTTCCAAATTATTATTATTCTCTTTTTCTTAAAAAAAAAAAAAAAAAAAAAAAAAAAAAGTACAAACACTCGCTTGACCAATAAAAGCGTTGTTGCGAATAGTGTTGTGCCGATGCCATTTTTTGGCCCTGATACCGATATCCGATACCTGGGTGTGCAGTATTGGCCGATACCGATAGCATCTGTTTGAAATTTATGTTTGTGTGTATATCTGAAAGACTGCAAACTACTTGGATGTAAAATAATTGCCATCATGGCTTTGTCAAGCTGCTGCCTATCTTTGTGAAGCAGGAAAAAGACTAATACAAAGTGAATCCAGTAGAACTTTTTGTTGCCTACCTGGAATGGGTGACAATAGTTGAATAAACTTTTGGCTCTCAAAATGGTATCGGTGCCCTATTTGTTGGTACTCGCCGATACCGATCTGGCTCCGATCTGCTCTGCAATTGTTTAGGTGTATTTATCTAAATATTACCAGGGGGGTGATATAATTGGGATAATATGAATACTTTTGAACATATGTGAATCAAAGAGAATCTGTTGGAAATGAAAACCTGCATTTGACACTTTTCTTATCAAATAATAGAGGTTTAGTGTTAAATCTTCCAATTTGGACAAACAGTGAATAATTAAAAGTCTAGTTATTACTAATACCGCCAGAAAATAAAGTTTTTGCAAATATGAAATAATTTTTCTGGGCAATTTTCACAGAAATAGCCTTTTTTTTATGTTTGTCTCTGCAAAGTTGAAGCAAGCTTTGCATCTTTTAAAGGTGAAACTTTGTCTCTGTTTCTAGTAGATGCTTGGTGATTGAACTGAATGTTCTCTGCTCTGATGTAGGAGCAGCAGGCAGGAACAGACAACGTTCAGAACTCTCAGCACCCACCTTCCGCCGCCCACACCAGCGAGCCCTCGGCGCTCAGTAACGGGGAGGATGAGCTGGATAGGGATTCGACATCAAAGGTGACACTCTGGTGGAAATGCAGAGAATGATCTGGTTCTAAGACAAACTAAACGGATCATTTAAAGCTACATGTTGATGTCATTTATGTGGTTAAATCTGTTTTAGTTTAGCAAAAGATTTTGATCCCAACACCGGGGTACATTTTAGGATCAGACACTAATGGAGGAACATGATACACCAGGACATAAGGATGGTATGGGTATTGCTTAAAGTGCAGTCATTAAAGTATTGAGACAGTGCTATCAATCCTGCTGAGCCTGGTGAGGTCAAAGTAAGTCCCAGGCTTCACTCACAGTGATGTCATTCTTTCCGTTCTTATAAATGTACATAGTTACATTATATGCCTACACAAAAAAAGTTCAAAATCCAGTTAATCACGCGAAAAAAAGGCTATATGCTCCAACCATCCATCCTGAGGCTGTTTATTTTTTTAGCTTCATAGGGCTCCAACTAACTAGTGTTAATTTTACCAGCCATTTTTTAAATTTAGTTTCAGTTTTAGTCCAGTTTCAGCATCGCTTGTTAGTTTTTATCACATTTAGTCAACATCATTTTTATTTAGTCTAGTTTTAGTCGACTATAAGTCAAGCGTTTTAGTCTTTATTTTAGTCCAAGAAAACATCATTTTATTTGTTTAATTTTAGTCAACAAAAACATTTTAGTCTAGTTTTAGTCAGGACATAATTTTAACCTTTTACTTTTTTGTCAGCAGATAATATTTAACATTTCCTAAAATTAGTTCACATTTCAACATTTTCTCTCATCTTTTTGATAAAAAAAAAAACAATTTTAAGGAACACATGTAGACATGGAAGATGTTCTGACAATATTTGCATATTTATTTTGAACATTCACTTACAATTATTTTGTTAATCAATTATCAGATTTAACAGAATTAAACCAGGTAAAACTAAAAGTTTTCCACTTGAGGAGTTCTGGATAGAGAATATTGACAGACGAAAAGGTCTTTTTTTTATCTTAAATGCAAAATATTTATGTAAATAAATTTAAAATATAGATTTTCTTTTTTTTTTTTTTTTTGGTATAATTAACTAAAGCGCTTTATGCTATGTTCAGACTGCAAGCAGCAGAGGCAACAGAAGCAGCTAGTTTACATGCAGTCAATGGTTGATGCGAATCAAGGCGCAGCAAAAGGTCCTGCAGCGCATTTTGAGCAGCAGCAGCGCATTTGACATGCATGACACGCTTCAGAACCAGCAGCAGTTAGAGTTGGAAAAATTTTACTTTTGCTGCTCGACGAGCCGCATCAACCAATCAGAGAAGCTGATCTGGGAACTGGCAGGGAGACAGACACAGCACTGCTGATGCCAGGGTTCCCTCGGGTCCTTAAAAAGTCTTAAAAGGCATTGAATTCTACAAAATAAAACTAAGGCCTTAATTGGTATTAAAATGTCTTAAATCAGTTTTTCGTAGGTCTTAATTTTTAAAACATCATAAATAGGATTATTTTTATTACGATTTATGTTTGTAATCTAAATAAAACATTAAAATTGGAATTTTTATTTTTAAAAAAATAACGGCTCGCCATTATTGGTTCCGTCCCGATAGCGGAACCAATAAAAGCGTTTGGGAGATGCGCCATTAACTTTTTCTCTGGAACATATATGAGCAAGTGTAAATGTAACGAAAATTGTCTATCCAGCCAAGAGTTTTCTCCACGGCTAAAACCAGGGAACATACATGAGGCTCAGTGGATTTTGTGCAAGAAGTCATTCAAGCTCAGAACGATGGGAATTAAGGCAGTGGAGTCGCACATGCGAAGCACGAAACACAAAGCGTCAAAATGGAGTTACTGAGAAACAGCCGGTATTTCTCATTTAGTTTCAACCTTGTCTCTGCAACGCCTCCACTTATCACCAAATCAAACATACTAAGAAAACCATACAAAGAAAAATAGCTGCATAAAAGACTTAGCACTGGTTATGTTGGGGCTTTAAAACTGATTTGTTTTGTTCCCTGCTAAAACAAAGTTTGTGAATTCAGTTAAATAATTGTTAAAATATATCTGTCATTTGTGTGTTTTTAGCTTTCTTCCTGTATGGGAAGCTTTTCAACATTTGAAACAGTAGTGCAGTGGTTTATGTTAAAATAAACCTTTGGGTTAAGTTGTCACAAGAGGGTTTTTCTTGCGTTTCTTGTGAATTTGGTCTTAAATTTTTATTTCAAGTGGCATTAAAAAGTCTTAAAAAGTCTTGAATTTAACTTGACTTATGCTGTAGGAACCCTGTGATGCAGAGCGCTATGACCTCTGAAGCAGTTTATTAACGCCTAAATTAATTTGAAATGTCAAAACTTTCCGGCAAAAATGAAGCAGCATGCGGAGGTGAAGTGTCACCTGCATTGCCCAAGGACACAAGGGCACTGAAAGGCAGAGCTGAGGCTTGAACCCACAGCCCTCTGGTTGCAGGACAGACTCCTTCATCCAACCCCACTGTCAACCCATGTTAGCCCTCAATTCATGTTTTGGAATCTCTATACTCTATACCGGGATCTGCGACCCCTAGGGGATCCACTACATGGGGGTTGCGAAAGTTTTCGTTAATTAGACTTTTTTTTTTATATATTCCTCCCTGCAACTTTTTCCACTAATTGAATTGTCTTTAAATCCACATTAACATGAATTCAACACACTGTAGTAAACAGATAAATGGAGGCAGAAGATGTCTTTCAGTCAACAATGCACACATTCAGAGACACACAGGAGCTCTTTCAAACTGGACACCGTTTCATTCACAACACCTGTCCCATCAACCAGGAATCAGAATCAGAAATACTTTAATAATCCCAGGGAGACATTACGTTTGTTCCATTACTCCATCTGTAATAGAGTGACTATAGGACCAGTTTGATAGAACACAATTTCATACAATATACATTATTAGGGGGTCCCTGCTCCATCTCGCCATCAGTTTTGGGGTCCTTGGCCTGGAAAACGTTGAAGAACCCTGCTATGTCTATTAGGGGTGTGGGAAATAATCGTTTTGGCGATATATCGTGATATTCGGCTGCCCAATATAATATCGATCTTTCACTTCTTAGTATCGATTTAAAAAAAAAATGGTTACATAAAACATTGATGGGAAAATGGGCTACCTCTCCACCACCACTCTGGCAGAAAGCGCTGTGGAGCCCTTCAACTGTGTGTGCAGCACCAAATCTGTATTTGAGGCAGTCACAGTGGAAGAAAACCCCAAACAACATGGATAATAATACCTAATCAATATTTTCTGATGAAAATATACAGCACTTGCTGTTTTATCTCATCATTTGATTTTGATAGCTGGGGAAAATATGGCAATATATAGTGATACTGCAATATCGTGATAATATCGTATCGTGACCCAAGTATCGCAACATGTATCGAATCGCAACACTCATGCCAATACTCACCTCTAATATCTATACAGTTAATGATTAATTGATTACTAAATTAGTTGGTGATTATTTCAATAACTGATAACTCATGATCAATCCGATTAATTGTTTCAGGCCTAGAGCCTAAATAGAACCTCAGCACCCGGTGCAATGAGCTGACATAAACAGATGTGGCGCCCCCTTCGGGCAGTACCACTGAACTCTCTGGGGGCCAGTGTATGACATGTAACTATGTGTCTTTAAACGCTTCAGCCACATCACAATCCTGAACTTTAGCTCCAGCTTTGGTGTACTCCAATAGTCAGACTGTTTTCTACCACAACTCCAGTTTTATCCCATTTAATTTATTTCATTGTTGTTCTTTTTGCACTTGATCTTAAGACTTTTCTTTTTTTTTTTTTGTAAAGGGAGGCTTGAAAACAAACCCAGTCCAAAAATAAAACTTTAAAAAAAGGTATAAAGAATACCTCTTTCATTCATTTTTTTTATATTTTATTTTTCCCAATTTTATTTATTAATTGCAATGTAAAAATAGATATTTTTTTTCATTTTTGTTGAGTTTAGCAAGTTGTACTATGCAGGTCCAGCGGATTCCGCAACAGCTTCTTCCCCACTGCCATCAGACTGCTGAACTGTTGAAAAAACTCTAAATCTTGTCACAGATTCTGCATCAAACTGATAACACCAAACCAAAATTCAGCATATTTGCACCATATATATTTAATGCTCTGAACTTCCATATCAAAGCATCTTTGCACCATGTCTCTTCTTCCACGCTGTTTACATTGGATCACTGCTGCACTTTATTAAATAGAAATAGTCTGAAATCTGTTAAAAACAAAATGTTATTTTGTATACACTCTGTATAAAAGTTGTCTAAGTGTAAGTATTATTTTCAAATTGCATTTAACAAACACATTCTCATTTTTAAACGCTAACGCATAGACGGAGCATATAAGTACATGGTATCATTCATGCACAATGTGCAAATAGGAAAATAACATACGTTTACTTGTAATTCAGTCTTTATGTAAAAGTTTGACATAATATGTAATATGTTATAACAACAATAATGTCATCAGTACCCGTATATTACATTTACATCATCAATTTAGCACTTTTGGCACATCTGTATTATTCTCCATTAAGACATGATTTTATTTTGATGGATTTGTATAATATGTTATATTACATGATTTAGAGACTTCATTGACATAATTTTTCTCAGATAGTTAAGACTACCTTTGATCCAAGCAGCACCAAGCACATATGATACTTATTTTATGAGCTTCACAGCTCAGGAATGCATTATGTGACTGTTTTTCAGTGGCGTTTTAAAAGTATTTGGAGCAAGAAAAACCTTAAGTGATTCCTTGTTTTACCCACCAGGTGGTGCAAGTTAATTACCCAGATCTGTAGCCTGTAGCATGTTGTGCCAGAAACTAAGAAGTACCAAGTGTGAAAAAGACCAACCTGAATTTGAATTAAGCTGCCAGTTGTTATGCTAAGCAGCAACATGGTGGAGTGTTTTAAAAAAATAAAAGCCATTTGTGCTCATTACAGCAAAGAGAAACGACCTCCAGAAAAATACCGTATGACTCTCATGACCCACTTTAAACATGCTGGACTTTGGTAATATGACACTTAAAACGGATTGGATGTTTATCTAAGGTATGACTCACACTGCATGCAATTTATCAACATCAGTAGAAATACAGCGCTTTTCAAATTTGGCCTCAAATGAAGGAGGTTTTACTTCTCTGCATACGTTTGGCCTTTGGGGAACAAAAACTAACTCAGATATTCATTATTTGAATATATTTAACTAGTTATTTTACCTGTTATCAAATATAGTGGCTTAAAAGCAAAAAGGATGGATGTTGCATAAAGATTTATGCCCCCAAGAGATTTAAGATAGAAAAGGTTTTGGAAAAAAAATAAATCAAACCAAACTAAAGGGGAGAAAAAATACACATTTTATTCCTATTTGATTTATGTTGTTAAGCTCTTTAGTATTTAAAGCTGCATGGCAAACACTATAATAATAATTATTTTATACTGCAACCCTGAATCCATATGACGGTTTTAGAGCCAGCCTAGAGATTTTTTTTTTCTTCTATTTCGAGAATAAAGTCGTAAAATTATGAGAATAAAGTCGTAAAATTACAAGAATAAAGTCACAACAAGAATAATCGTACAATTATGAGAATAAAGTCGTAAAATTAAGAGAATAAAGTCGTAACACTACGACAATAAAGACGTAACACTATGAGAATAAATGTGTAAAATTATGAGAATAAATTTGTAAAATTACGAGATTGAAGTCGTAAAATTACGAGAATAAAGTCGTAAAATTACGAGAATAAAGTCGTAAAATTACGAGGATAAAGTCGTAAAATTACGAGGATAAAGTCGTAAAATTACGAGGATAAAGTCGTAGTTTTACAAGGATAAAGTCGTAGTTTTACGAGAATAAAGTCGTAGTTTCGTAGTTTTACGAGAATAAAGTCTTAAAATTACAAGGAAAAAAGTCACATCGAAAATAGTCATAAACTTACGAGAATAAAGTCATAATATTAAGAGACTAAAGTCCTAAAATACAAGAAACAAATTGTATTTTATGACACCTCCTACAAGAAGCTCTTCACTAAAATGAGAAATGTCGAGCATTATGTGAATTTATACTTTGGCTCTGGTTTGACAAATAAGAAAATCGTTTAGCACCAGCATCAAATTGGGCAGTAGGTCAAAGTTGACTCAGGTTGCTGTTTGGTGGCGCTGGTCAGGCATCATATGCTGGTCGTAGCTCAAAGCTTTCTTTCTGAAACGGGTTGTTGTACGATGACTTCATTCTCGTAATGTTACGACTTTATTCTCGTAATGTTTACGACTTTATTCCCGTAATGTTACGACTTTATTCTCGTAGTTTTACGACTTTATTCTCGCAATGTTACGACTTTATTCTCGTAGTGTTACGATTTTATTTTCATAATTTTTTTATTTATTCGTATAATGTTACGACTTTATTCTCGTAGTGTTACGACTTTATTCTCGCAATGTTAGGACTTTATTCTCGCAATGTTATGACTTTATTTTCATAATTTTTTTTTATTTATTCGCATAATGTTCCGACTTTATTCTCGTAGTGTTCCGACTTTATTCTCGCAATGTTACGACTTTATTTTCATAATTTTTTTTTATTTATTCGCATAATGTTACGACTTTATTCTCGTAGTATTACGACTTTATTCTCGCAATCTTACGACTTTATTCTCGCAATGTTACGACTTTATTTTCAGAATTTTTTTATTTATTCGCATAATGTTACGACTTTATTCTCGTAATTTACAACTTTTTTCTTGAAATGTTATTACTTTATTCTCAAAATAAAAACAAATCTCTAACCTGGCCTTAATACTCCATCGTAAATCTAAACCACACATATTAGGGGCTCATTAATTTCATCAAAATCGGTTCCAGGTTTAACACAATGAGACAAAGGCCCAACTTTGGTTTGATATCAAGTCAACTCCTGTTTGCATGCATGGTTTGGCTATAATGTTTGCAGATGTGTTAAAAGTATTGTAGTTTATGATAAAATGGGAAAAAGCAGCGAGAATCTTTGCGTATTTGATCCCTCTTCATCCCACAGTGTCACGACCGCCTGTGTTATTTCGCTTCTGCTGTCTGTTATTACCGGTCTTTCCCAGAAGGCATGGAAAAAAGTAGCTGTCGAAATGGAAAAGGCTGGATAAATAGTCAACCTCCACTTTTCGTGTTGGTAGTGCTGACATGTGGCAGTTTGGGTAGCAGACATTAAAGAGCTCCCTGTTTTACCGTCAGCCGTCTGTGTGATCTGAGAACAATTTGCGAGTTCCTCAAAAGAGTTGAGAAGAAAGGGGAGAAAATTCCTCTTTCGCATAAATCAGCCCTATGACAGCAATATAAACAGCTGGAGTTTCTCTTAAACTTGTTAGACAAAAAATAAAAATAAACCACTTGATGTTTCTTGTTATTTGTTAATGGGATTGTTATTCATTACCGCTTAGGTGTGAAAGCGCCTCCTCTTTCTCGCTGTCTCATTACCTCCCTATCTGTCTGACACCCTTTTGGTCGCATCACAGCAGTGGGACCAGTGTGTGAAAGTGGGTGTGTGTCTGACCCGGGACGGTTGACCTGTGTCAGATCGGCTTTTTTGCCCCGTCACAGCTGAGTGATGCTCTCGCCTGGTTTGTGTTTCAGTCGGAGTCGGAGCATGACGAGGAGTCCACAGGCAGCATGGGCTCCACTTCTGTCGCTGTAAGTCCCTCTAAGGCTTTTTCAAACAGTCTTCCCCGCTGCCTAATGTTTGCCAAGGAGGTAAAACATATTAACAGTGAAGTTCACAAAGTCATAGCAGCTTTACTTTTGTTTGTAACATTCAGAATGACCTTTTAGGTTTGGTTCTTGCAAATAAAATCCACCTTCCTGGTGGTGTTAGTCCCCGTTAAACAAATAACTGAAGGAAAAACTTTTAAGCTCAGCGCAGTGTAATGGTGGGTGTCTCCTGCAATGTGTCAGTTGGCTTGGTGTCAGTGCTTGTAGGAAATGGATTAGACGTTTGTGCTCTAAGAGTCTCTAACAGGATGTGTGTTTCTGTTCCAGCTGGATCCTACAGAGAAAGAGTGGATCTACCACGCCGCCAGCGCTCGAGTGCCTGACCTCTCCCAGCTCCTCAGGCTGGAGCCCTCGCTTGTAAATAAAAAGGTAGCCGCTCCTTATGGTCAGCTGCAATAAATACGACAAATAAAACAACGTGTTATCCACTTTGAAAGTATAAGGACAAAAATTTGTTCACTTTTCAAATAAAGCTTATTTATTTGCTTAAAGCCATAGGGAAGTCATATTTAAATTTCAAATCATCGTGGCTTAAACATGTATATAAATGTACTCTTTATCAGACCATATTGACCCAAAAGTTAGAATATTTCTATTTTAACAAAATCCTGTCTTAAAATCTGTGAGGGGTTTTTCCGTAATCTTCTGCAGGCAAGTTAGTTATATGTCAGCCTGAACACCTAAATTCGGCCAATCATATATCAACGGTCATCTGTCAGTCAGATTTTTCCAGTCATAGCATCTTGATTCATATGTCGCAGCCAATAAACGCTACGGTTGAAATAAGGATCATTTCCTTTCCCATTGAGTTCCATCCCAGTGTTCATGGGGACATGTACGGCTGGAAGCCTTCTACACCAAACCAAGCTTCTGCCGCCCTGGCGTCCTCTTCCACGACAACTGTGTCCCCTCTTTCCTCCTGTAAAAATGTATGATGGAGGAGACTCATCCACATCCTCCGACACAAAACTCTCCTCCTCTCGCATGTTTCCGCTGTCCATAGCGTTCCTTGACAGTGTCGTTTCCATTGGGACCAAGTAGCACTAAATTGGTGACTTAGAAACGACACTGTCAAGGAACGCTATGGACAGCAGAAACATGCGAGAGGAGGAGAGTTTTGTGTCGGAGGTCGTGGATGAGTCTCCTCCATCATCCATTTTTTATTTGGAGGAGGAAAATTGGGATAAATATGTTGTGGAAGATGACGCCAGGGCGGCAGAAGCTTGGTTTGGTGTAGAAGGCTTCCAGCCGTACATGTTTGAGCCCTTGCCTCGCAACGCTGCCAGTTCTGTTAGCTCTACGCCTGCCGAAGACACAGACGTCCATCCCCGTGAACACTGGGACGGAACTCAATGGGAAAGGAAACGATTCTGATTTCTTGTTTCTTATTTCAATGTTGCGTATATTAGCTGCAACATATGAATCAAGATGCTATGACCGAAAAAATGTGATTGACAGATGACCGTCGATATATGTTCAGGCTGACGTATAACTAACTGGCCTGCATAAGATAACGACAAAAAAAATAGATTTAAATTTTGTGACAATATAGCGTTCCTTGACAGTGTCGTTTCTAAGTCGCCAATTTAATGCTACCTGGTCCCAATGGAATTTCCCATTGGGAACCTACTAGCACCAAGTGGCAAACTGGTTAGCAAGATTCATCCGAGGCACCGGACACAACAAAACTTGCTTGCAAACCTTCCGCCACAACAATCCCGCACCCTCGATAATCAACCAATCACATTCACTTGTGTAAAGTCGGGCACCACTCAGGAGAATTTGGAACTGCAACAGCCGCTTTCCTACGAATTTAAATACCACAACAGTTTTTTGCTGCAAACCTCTGACGTAATGCTAGGACCGAAATCTTATTGAAGTCTACCTTCAGTTCAACAGCGGCTTTGCAATCTATTTAAACTTAGTGAACAAAACGGTTTCCAAACTAATCCTGGTTATCGTTGCTTATAAAAGTAAGGCAAGGTTTACGTTTGTTTTTAGAGCATATTTCTGTAGCCCTACAAGCAAAGTTCAGCACATGACCAGCAAAGGTTAACCCTTAAAGCCCAGAGGGTCTTAGGAGCAACTTCTGCCTGAAATTACATATGTGAATTAAGTTGTGGCATAAAGAAAGATTAATAATTGGAGAGAATAAAGATATGATGATTATATTAAAACATAATGGTTGATTAAAAAATGAAAGGAAGAAATTGAAAAGGAAAGCTGATCTGAAAACGTACCTAATGTTTATATCAGGCACCCTAAAGTCGGTCCTCGAGGGTCGCTGTCTTGCAGGTTTTAGAGGTTCCTCTACTTTAGCACAGCTGATTTTTGAGATAATTCAAACAAGCTGAGCATTTTAGCTAGTTTGCTATTTTCTGGGAGTTTATTCCAGATTAGTGGAGTATAAGAACTAAAAGCTGCAGAGTAGTTTTGATCCATTAGACCTGAGAGGTCTGGCTGTCGATCCACTGCAATGTATTTGTAGAGAAGTCATTCAGTAAATTAAAGACTAAAAGAAGTATTTTAGAGTCTATTCTCTGAGATACATGGGGCCAATTGAAGGACTTTAGAACTGTGCTGATGTTCTCCACTGTCTTAATTCTAGTGAGGATGCAGGCAGCAGAGTTCCTGATCAGCTGTCTGATCCACTTTCTAGGCAGACCTGTGAAGACATAGCTGCAGGGATCAATTCTACTAAAGAGGATCAAAGCAGGAATTAGTTTATTAAGGTCATGCTGAGACATTAGTCCTTGGAGATGTTTTTTAGGTGATAAAAGACTTTGTTCCTCCCTTTATGAGCCTCTAAAGGTTCAGGTCAAAGTCCATCACTACACCCAGACTAAAGTTTGGTTATCTTCCCGCAGCAGTGTGTCGCAGTGAGCTTGTCGCAAATATTTTTGATTTATGCCCAATATTGAAGCATGGTCTGCGCTCTGTTATTCTACGCCACAATGCAAGAGGGACAATCAGGAACTAGCTGTGGGTCTAAATACGGCCGAGGCGATTAGGAAGTTGGGACAAGTTTGTGCGACAACGGAGGGACATGAGGGCGAAAAAAAATTTGTATCTAGGTGGAAAAAGGGTCCCAGCTTGCTCGCTCACCTTGCTCTTCTAGCTGGTCCAACTTCACTGGTCGTTTTCCACAATGGTGGTCATACAAATAAAACAAGCCGGTAAGGTACCAAACAGGAAATACGCATAGTGTAGAGCGGATATAGATTTGACCAATCAGAGGCCTCCTGTCTGCGGCACGGTCTGCTGTCACCTACAATTTTGGAGAGGTGCACCAGGGTGTCTGCGGATGGGGCGGGGGCACATTTGCGTTCACTGCGACATACACGCAGAGGACCTAGTTTCTGAGTATAAATCAGCCTTAAGAGCCTGATTGATGGTTTCTGGCTGGATTAACTGGAGCTCTATGCTATTTTTTAAATTACCTTAGTTTTGTTCCATCAATGTCCTCAATTTCTTAGTTACATGCATAGTTATGGGAACTTATGTTGTTTATTCAGATCTGAGTTAAAAGGAGCAGGTAGATAGTGAATAAAAGGGGCCCTAAGATAGCCCCTTGGGGAATGCCTAATGTGAATTTTCTGGTCTTTGATGTAAAGTTAGCTACTGACACCAGTAGGTAGAAGTGGAACTTAAACCAGTGCAGTGCTGGAGCAGAAGGCCGACACAGTTTTCCAGGTGTTTTAGTAAAATAAAGCACAGGTTGCTGCACTGAGGTCCAATAATACCAGCACTGCATTCAGACTGATGTCACTAAACACCTTGATAAGGGGGGGTGTCTACTAAGAAAAAAAGCTTGTTAATAGAAGCAATCTGACTAATAAATGGTTCTGTTTTTTCTGTTTCTCTCTCTGTTGTGTTCATTGAAACCAGGACTTCACCTCGGTGAGTACGTTGTAGGATTTTTAACATGCTTCACGGTTATCATCGCCTCTGCCTGACCTGAAGCTTTTCTCTCCTTCGTTCCGACATAACGGCTGCCGGCTGTGACCCTGACGCTTCCTTTCAGGGGGTAGGTTCCATACAGCACTTTTTTTTTTTTTTTTTTTCCTTGCTGAAACCAGTTTGTTCAAAAAGTCATGAAGGCCTTAAACATGTCATACCCTGTTTACTCCAGTGTCTCAAAAAACGTGCTTTACTTTTTCCACTGAAGGATTCTGGCGCGATCTTTCTCCTCTTCTAAGAACATCCAGATCACGCATTTCAAAGGTCCACTATCAAAAGGATTATGAAAGATAGCTTTTTAGCTCCTGTGCCCCCCTGACAACCTAAATCCCTTTATTTGTCTCCCAGTGCGCTTAAGAGATTTCAGCTCATGTTTGTTGTCCCTCCCCTCATGTCAGTTCTTACACCGTCCTGTGGCCATGGCAGACCACCTTCTAAGAGTCGGCCTAAGCTTCTGCCATCTCCACCACGGACAAGATAGCCCGGCTGCCATTGAAGTGTTGGGAGATGGGGGGGCAGATTAAGGAGAGTCTTAATGCCTCACAAAGACTTTGCCCATTTAAAGATAATCTGAAAGTAATAGAGCAGGCTGGGATTAATTGTAGAACAATGCTGCATGTGCCCCTGGGAAGGTACTAAGTCCTCCTCAGGCCTCTTTGATGTTTCAGCCCTCAACCTGACACCGTTCAGCAGAGGTGGAGATAACACACGGAGATAGGGAAAATCAAAGAAGCCAAAACACTCCTGAACAGGGCATGTAAAACTAAGAGCTTTAACATCTGATCTGTTTCTTTTAATGCTTTTGAAAGTTTTGTTGGAAGAGCTTTCAGTCAGTTTGAATTGTTCGTTGGGGAAATTACATTTTCCCACATTAAAAAAAACATAGCTTTATTATATATTATTTATTTAAAAGTGGTTTTCTAAGTTTCATTTTAAATGAAAATCCTAACAGTACCCTTTTGAAACTGTGCCGAGATCGGTCTGAGCACGGTAACCGAGGTAACTGTTGAGCATAAATGGCACACACAACTGAACCGGACCGGGCTAAAGTGGTACTAGTTCATCAGTAGAACTCGGACAAAGACCGTTTATTTAAATTATTGAATGCAAACTATTGGTATTTCAACATACCCTGAAGCATCAAAATATTTATTTCCTACTAAGAGGCTTAAAAGTTTCATTAAATCCAGTCACAACAGCTTCCAAGAGCGCATCTGATAACTTGAAAACAAACTTCTTATCTCTGGCATGGATGGATGCAGAGATGCTGAGTTTGGAGGTAGAAAACAAACAAATTTTATTATCCTAATTATCCCTATTTTAAAGATGCACAACGAAAATAAATATTTGGGCAGAATCATGTGATGGATGCTTATAGTGAGATTTAATTATGTCATTAAATAAGCGTCAATTTCCACATGTGTTGCTCTTATGAATAGGGCGTGGGCGTCATGACGTAATTACTTTGCGTGGCCGCCATGTTGATGGCCTCCTTTACCGCTACTCAGACTACTGCCTACGACTGCCGCGTACAGTACTCCCTCTCAGCCGTGTTTTAATTTGATTAATTTCACCTTAACTTGATTTCAACCATGGTAAACCGTTGCTGTATCGTGGGCTGTAACAGCGCAACACATGATCGCCATGGGAAAAACATAGAACATGGGTTAACTTTCTACCGCTTAGCTGCCCTGAGGCGCAACTACGGAGACCAAGTGTCAGAGATAACAAAGAGTCGTCGGCTAGCTTGGATTGCGGTCAACATTCATCTTTCTGTTGATATCCCTCTGCTGACAGCAAAAATTCGTACTACAAAACAACGTAGCCTTTGTGTCAATCCCACACATTAAATCCAATCTTTGTGGTTATGATAAAGTGGGAAAAAATTGATGGTTTTTTACATTCTTTAGAGTTCACCACCTTTTTTTCCTTCCTGTTTTCCATGTGATGCCTGCTTCCATTCCTGCTGTGATGGACTTCCTCCCACAAACAGTTTGTAAGTACATCATTTCACCATCCGTCCTCTCCGTCTTCTCCTCCACATCCTTACCAGACAGGCCTTTGTGTTTCCGACACTATGAGTCAACTTCGGCTTCCACTTTCTTCGTTGGGAAGCGCGTGGCGGGGAGGCTCAGAGTTGGCCCCTGACTGATCCGATACCTGGGTGGGGGGTGGCAGTGGGGGAACAAGAACAGAAACGAGGGAACAAGCATCCTGTTTGGGGACTCGTACATCATCCCCGCTCTACAGGAAACCCAGCGAGCCGCCTATCAAACTGCCCCTTGGCCAATCCGTCTTCTGTTGTGACACTGGGTACACTAAAGATCAGGAGATACTCCAAGCACATGCCGTCTATCACAATCTGTCCCCCCGATGCGTTAGATGCAGCTACACTTTGCCTCTATTCCCTGAAGGGAGAGAAAAAATACACGTTTCTGTTAATGGCTGCTTGTCCAGCCTGTTGGGAGAAGCGGTTGTGAACAGAAAAAGTCTCGTTCGGGCAGTAATAAAGAGCTCCAGTTCAGAAGAAGTGGTATTTGGCTTGTGGTTGACACACAGGGGAATAATACAAGGAAATCATCTGTCATCTGAGTCTTTATCCCTTTATGTTGAAAAGTGTTTAATATACTTTTAAGCTCTTAAACGCTGAGCTTTAAAGATTTATTTTCCCCCAGAACTTTTTTAATTCAGTTCAGTTTGTATAGCTCCAAATCCCATACTGTCATCTTAAGGCTTTTTACAGAGACAATTCAACCAGATCATCAAGTCAGATTGGGTAAATGTTTTCTATCTAAGAAGGATTGCAGGATTCCCTCCTACTGGAAAAGCATTTAGAGACAGGAGTTGTTATCCACTTGCATTGTGTCATCAACTCTATAGCAATCCCTCACACTGAGCCTGCATGCAGTGACAGTGGAGAGGAAAAACATTATTTTAACAGGAAGAAACCTCCAGAAGAACCAGGCTCAGTGTGAGCATCTTCTGTCGAGGCTGACTGGAGGTTGAAGGAGACAGAAGCAGACATAGAAAAGGAACACAGAAGCGCTGATCTATAAATACTTTCTATGTTAGAGAAAGTAACGATAAACTAGCTCAATAGGTGGCGCTGTCTTAAGCCTCTTTCCCATGGAAACTAATGGGCTATCACTGATTTTTCAAACACGGGTCGACTCACTAACAATCAGCATTTGGCTCCTTCCCACCAGTAAAAAAAGCTGAATCTGATGGGTGACCTCTGCCCCCCACTGCTGCGTGTCTGGTGACATCATCACGCTGGGTTAGCGCTGATGATGTCACCAGTGCAACAAAAATCACAAAAGTAATTAATGGAGACCAAGATGTAAGAAAGCCAGGGCGTAGTAAGTGTGCTTCATTGATTCGCTTTTTAATGTTCCATGTTTATCAAATATAAACAGAGTTTCTCGCTCCAGGGTTGTATCACAGAACCAGGACAGACGAACCTACTATGATGAGAAAAAGCATAAAGTTGGTGAATACTGGTGAATTGGAGAATAGATATGATATGAAGAAGTGGCATTAGAAGTAGTCTCTATATCCTCCACCGGCCTTAGCCTATAGCAGCATAACTATAGAGACACCCTTAGCAATTCTAACTGTAAGCCTTATCATAAAAGAAAGTTTTAAGCAAGCAAGAAGTGTAGCAGACTGGCTGTCATTTGTAGTTAGAGGTAGACAGATTTGAATGTCATCTGCAAAACAATTAATGGAGACTTTGTGATTTTTAAACATAAAACCCAGAGTTAGCAATTACAAAGTAAAAAAAACAGGTGTTGATATCGACCCCCTGGGGAGAAACCGAGGAGGAATGCTGTCCTAGGCTGTCCAGAAAACCTCCTATTTAAGCAATAGGTTTAAAACTAGTTTAGCGCTGTACCTCAAATACCAACAAGTGACTCTTAACGAGCTGAAAGGATGCTGTGCTCCACACTGTCAAAGGCCGCAATCAAATCTAAAAGTAATACAAATGCTAATTTGGCTGCATCAACAGTTAAATTAAGCTAATTTAAAATGTTTGTCTGATGTTGCTACCCTAGTTGATGATGAGAGATTGTTCCACCATCCAAAAAACTTTTATAGAAGATGTAGTGGTGATTGTTTGTCAAACCAAACATCCAATAAAGTTCCAATAAGTCACTATAGGCACTGGGGTCACGTTTTCTTGACGCAGGCAAAAGAAGTTGAAGTCCAAACTTGTAGATGTTCAGTTGATTTATTTCCTTTTTTTTTTTTTGCAAAGTTCAAACATTTCCTTGCTCTGTCACCTCTCTTGCACTGGTACAAACCCATAGGCCCCTAACCCAAATGCCTGCTGGTCCTTACTAGGCTCCTACAATTATAGAAAGTGGACCGCCCACATTTCTTCCTGTTTTACATAATAAATACAGAAAAAAATGATAAAAAAAAACAAAAAATAAATACACAAAATTCAACAATTAACCTATAAATAAAGTCTGTAAATAATTTAAAAAAATATATAAGTTTAGGAATTAACCCAATTCAAATGGATAAAGAAATAAAGAATAAATAGCTCCAACAAAAGATGTTCCACTGAGGGGAAAAAGACACTGAAGGACTTGTCTGTGCAAATTCTCAGTCATCCGGGTCCCAGCAGTCACGAAACAGGCTTAAATTGGTGGCAATAATAAATAGCTTCTTCAAGTTTTGCTTGAATAATCTGCATCACTATAGAATGACCTTGTAACCCTTCCCTGGTTTATGGGCATCTCTAAGAACATTGCAGTTGTTTCTTTTTTTAATGGATCTTATGGGTATTTATTTCTGCACCTCGGGTTAGCTTTAAACTTTTAGGATTCCTGTAGAGACCGCATCGTTTGTATCATGACCTGATCTGTAAAGCCTGTAAATTGAAGCTTTCATCTTCTTGTGTGATTAATCGTTGGGGCTGTTTCTCCACAGCACATGTTCAGTCAGTAAAGACGGGAGGTTAAAGCCTTCTTCATTCATCCACAGATAATATGCAGTTCTGAAATGGTTACTGTTTGATTTGCCATGTTAAGGGTCAAATGGCTAAGGGGGTGGATGCGGTTGCCGAGACGACTTTTTCACCTACACAGATTTCACCTGTTGATAGCCCATAATTACACAACTTTGAACGTGGAGGGAAAGAGGGGGATCACAGCTGTGGTCCAGCAGGTGGATATGGTTTAAATCGCCTTATTTGTTCATGTGTGTTTTATTTTCACACCCGAGTGTCTCAGAAGGCGGACATATGGGAGTATCTGTTGTGTTGATGGGAGGGCTCAGGTTACGCTCCTTGACGTGGGCTGACAGTAGTGCTGTGATGTCTGGGTGGGTCTCCCCTCCCTCGGGTCACACTAACATCATCAATCTTTCCCCCTGGTGACAGGCGGCCAGGCCCTCCAACTGTGGGCACAGTGCTGTGTTGTTTTGTAATTAGGCTGCGTTAGATGGCAGGAAACCCTCTCTCCTTCTTACCATCCCTCCATGCATGCACCCCTCTCTGCAAATACCTGGACCTCTGCCCCCCTGACAGCCAGTAAGAGGCACAACAGCTTGTAAAAATGCAACAGCAGTTATTATACTCGTAACACCTTTTTTCTGTTGGACTTTTGCAAACAGACTGCTCTGCATTGGGCCGCCAAACATGGCAACAAAGACATGGCAACGTTGGTGGCCGACGCCGGAGGCGACATCAACAATAAATCAGTAAGTTCAGTTTAAAAGTGAGGTTATGAGTGGGATCTCATTCAACTTTATGATATTCGTATTGTTAGATTTTAGACAGACAAATTAAAATAATTGACATAAATATATGTATCACTTAATTAGCTTCTTTATTTTTTCACCTTCTTTTGTAAACAGTTGCATTTGTTACTTGAATCAACTGTTTAATTGAGGTCTGAAGACGTTTTCTCTAAGGGAGACCCTAAAGACATAAGATGCCTTTTGTAGGGTTTCGTTTTCCCTAGAGATATCCATTGAATGCAAACTCATAGCCATGTCTCGATGTGTAGAACAATACACAGTACCTTTAATTTGGTTCTAATAACAGCAGATTGTTTACTAGTTTGTCTACTAGTAATTACTTCAGTTTTTATTTTAATATGCTGATTATAAAGCAATGTTTATACTTGTGATATGTCATTGGCTGATCTTTATAAATATTTTAACCAGTGTATCAGACTCATTTTGAATTGATATTAGCTTGGTACATCGTTAAGTAGCTTCTGATGTAGTTAAGCTACTGTTAACACATTAGTGTAACTTAGCTTGCTATAATTCTTTAGGTGGTAGCTTTGGTGTAGTGAAGCTTAATTTATTGTTGAGTAACTGACAGCTTATCTCACTACAATGGACAAGTAGGTTGCCCAACACTGATTATAGCCATTTTAGAATACAATAAAGGCCTATGAGGCCATGGTAGGGTCACTGATAACAGGAAGAATGTACTCTGTTCACATTGGACTAAAAATAATCAAGTTTTAATACATACATATGGAGCAATATGAAGCCATATAAACTGTCAATGCACAACATCCAGAATCCATCATCCCCACTGTCAAACACAGGGGTGGCAGTATCATGCTGTGCAGATATGTTTCCTCAGCTGGGACAAAGAAGCAATTTCAAGTCACTGGGGAAATGGGTGGAGCCAAGCATAGAGCAATTCTGGGGAAAGTCAGAAGTTTAAAAAGAGACCCCCGACTGAGGCAGAGGTTTAGCTTCCATCAGAACATTAACTCAAAACAACCTAATAGCAATGTTCAAATTAAGCAACCAATGCCCAGGCCTAAAAGCAGCTGAAAATATAAAACAATTTTAAAGAGTCCTTTCTGACGGAGCTTCAAGGTTCTTCCGGTAGAGGCATGCCCCAACAACCCCCAACGATGCGTAGTCGCAAATAGACACATGCTACTTTATGCCACGGCTTTCACGTTCTGTCAAAATCCATATATCATTTTCTTCCTGCATCACAACTCTTCTGTTTTAAAGTCCAAACATGACAAAATATGAAAAATTCATGTTATGATTATGCAAAGCCTTATGTTAGTGTGACACTTCCTGACAACATTACTGCCTCCATGCTCAAAACATGCACTTATTCACACAACCGCATTGATCCTTTGTAAATATGCTTGATCTCTTTAAACAGTTGAACAATATAGTGAGTGTTCTGGTGAGGTCAGGCTGTACAACATTAATTCCTGCTTCCCACCTCAAATAATAAAGTCAAGTCCAGGTTAAATCATTTCCGCACCTTCTGCATTATGGCTGCTCTCATTTAGGATCCATCTAATAGATCACTGCTCACTCTAAGGCTATAGCCTTTTTTTATTTAAATAAGCAGATACTGATAAATGAGGAATATGGAAACAAGTAGACACACAACAAGTCAAACATGTTAAAAATATAGCAAAGTGGAAGCAAAGTTAAAACTGTTTTCCATTTTATTGGAAGCAATAAAATTCTTTAGGAATTACTTTGGAGAATGCATTACTTTAGCCAGATGTGGTGTTGCACTTAAAAAGTTTATTGAAAGTTCTGAATAGGACCAACAGAACAACTCTAGGCAGAGGCTGTCCAAGTCGTGACCAGAGTTAGAAGCCGATACAAACACGAACACAAGTTCCGCACATACAGCCCCTGTCAAACCTCAAAGACTTAGCCAGCGTATGCCTGACGTACGAAAAATCTGGCAAAAATGCTGGAATACGTATTGGATAAGTTATGGATACGTTTTGTATAAGTTATTAGGACGCTGAAGTACGCTGAAACATGCTGGCACTCATCAATATATGGCAAGTATGAGCATACGCTGGCTTACGACATATGCCAGCGTATGCCATACTTAGGGCATAAGTTACAGGTCAGTTATCTGAATGTTGACATACCATGTCCAAAACCTATGAGTAACTTGTGCATAACTTATGCATAACTTATCAAGAACTCATCTCCAATGCATATTGACGTATTTGACGTGATCCAGACGACCGCCTCAACGGTATTCTAACTTACAGCTACTGTATAATGGCCAAACAGAAAGGCGTTTGCAGAAATTTAGCTTTATAGTACCAAATACATTTGCATTATTACGTTAGTGATCAAATGTCACATTTTATTAACTCTTTGAAAACAAGTTTTTCTTCAAATATTTTCCCCCCAAAAAAAACGCTGTAATTGAAAACAACAAAATAATGGGGCATCTCGGATTTATGCCACTAATACTCCATTTACACTACCCTTGAAAAACTGATCCATGTCGAGACCGGTCCGAGCTCGGATCAGTTAACCAGGCCGGGCTCGGTTCTGACGTCCATTCACACATCACGCTATCTTGGTTCCTCGACTCCTCGCCTCCTAGTGACGATCTGCGGTATTACTGTCAGTACTGAAGGAGGAAATCAAGCAGTAGGTGGCGGTAATGCACCAAAAGTTGTTTGACAACGCCATAAAATACAAGAAGAAGAAGATTTCGATTGTTGTTTATAGTTCTTCTTCTTCTGTTTTGTGTTGGTTGGCAAGCAACTTCCGGAGGGGCATTACCGCCAACTACTGGAATGGAGTGTGAATCGGGATGTGCAGCCAGACGGAGATGACGCGTTCTGCTCATGCGCTCTTGTTATCAGAGAAGCGAGCCAGGAAAAAACCAAGCCGAGCCCACCTCTGGAACTGGTCTGCAGTTAGCTTGGTCCGGTTGTGTCTAGCTCATTTCAGTTCAGTTTGCTTTCCATTTACACACAATAAGTTATCTCAGTTACTGAGCTCGGACCGGTCTCGGCATGGTTTTTCAAGGGTAGTGTAATGGAACGGTTTATGAAAACCATCCGAACCGTTCGGTTCGAATCGCGTGTGTTGCGTTCGGTTCATGCACTGCCCCTTTTTCTCATAGGCGAAGCGTGTGCACTCCAGAGCAGAAGTTGGCGGTACTGGGACCAAAGCCAACGACCAGTAGTAAACAAGAAGAAGCAGCAGCGTAGCCGGGTGTAGCAGAAAAAAATCAGTCGTTGTGGAGAATTGTGTGGGTATGGCGAGTGGGAAAGAACAGGAGTAGGAAGATGCGCCAGCAGCACTTTATAGGTCTGCTGTATGGGAACGGAAAGAAAGTTGTGGATAAAAGTGCGCAAGCATTGTGCAACACGTTTTGTTTATGCTAACAGCAACGCGACCAACATGTAAGGCTAACAATCAACATATACCGAACCGAAAACCGTGACCACGAAACCGTGAACCGAACCGCGGATTTTGTGAACCATTCCACCCCTAGTGTAAATGGGGCAAAAATGTCCATATCTGAACTCTGAAATCTGAACCACCAATGGAATCAAAGTTTCCACTTACGATAAAATCATACATACTGCCTTATTTAGAGTGCAGCAGAGATGGGGACTCGAGTTTGTGACTCGTACTCGAGTCGCACTTAAGTCGCATATTTAATGACTTCAGCCTCGACTTAGACTTGCATTTAAAGGACTTCAGACTCGACTGAGACTTGTGATTTCCGACTTGTGAACAATATTTTATTCCAGTGTAAAAACACTTATTCAAGTGTTTTTTTGTTTTACTAACTTGACTGATCGCCGCTCGCCTTACCCGCACACAGAAGAAAACTCAAAGACCCAAACCGTGAAGCACTCAAGTTCAAGTGTTTTATTTATACAAAAAGCCACAGCAAAAGTGGCATTATAAAACAGTCCTTTTCTTCTCCTGATAAAACCTAAAATTTAAGAGTTTTCCTTAAAAATCAGAGGCTGGAAGTTGGGCTCCGCTTGTTATGCTGCTTCAGGTGCGAGTGATCAGCCTGCAGCACCCACTGGCTGATCCACAGCTGACTCTGCGGCGCTCCAGCACTCTTCCACTCCCTGGCGTGCCACACCCCTTTCCAGACCGATCCAGCTAAAAAGAGAAGTAAGGAGAACTCCAGCATCCACGCGCCAAAACCCCGTCTGAAGATATATTCCTGTTTATGCTTTAAGCGAGGGGGAGCGCTACTTACAGGCGAGGTTCCTCCTCTGCCCTAATACTCCTTACTGGGCCATCAGTGCGCACGGATCCCGCCTGCATCTCCCCCAGCAGCGCGTCCGTCTCTGTCACCTGCAGATTCCGTTCTCCTTCTCCTTTCCTTCAGACTCCTTTTATGTAGGCTTTAATCAGCCCTTGCTCACACCTGAGCGCAGCAATTACGCAGCGCAATTAATGCACTCCGCCTCCTCAGACAACTACTTCAGTCCAGTGCGCATGGATTGTCACAAGGGAAAAACAAACCAAAACAAGCAACCCAACATGCAGGAAAAATGCAAAAGTCTAAAATAAAGGAAAACAATCATATAAAAAAGAAACATCAAAACATGCAAAGCTCAAGAAGAAAATACAAAGAAAAACAAATCATATCTTCCTCTCCAAACATGCAAAGCATAAAACTAACATTAAAATGAAAGAAAACCATAAATCATATTTTTCCCTGTGCAACACACTGACGTCACTGACGCAACAGTACGTGGACGGCAGGATTGTGATTGTTTTTTTTTTTTTCCACAGTCCTCATTTTCAATAAAAGAGCAGACATTTACTGCTAAAACTAGAAAAAGTTGTAACCACAAATGTCAGGAAATACTGTAAGAAAATGCAAAATTTATCTGGAAAAATTTTTTGCGTGTGCTTTTTTTAATTGTATTTTTCATTTAGCAGTTCAAGATAATGATAATTCCATAGATATAATAGCGACCTTTAAGCTATACCGTCTCAGTGACGGAGATGAAAACACATGGAGAAACAGGCAAGCACGAAAATTATTGCACTTTTTTAAATTAATCAAGTGATTAGAATTTTTTGCGCGATTAATTGATTATTGCGACAGGCCTTCTCAAGACTTGAGACTTAACTTGGACTTGCAAAAAATGACTTGTGAACATGTCTGGAGTGCAGTATGTATGATTATATTATTTTGGGGCCAAAATGCTCTTTCCATCAACGGATTTAGATTTTTTCAATAAATCTTTACTTATTTATATAATAATAATAATAATAATAATAATAATAATAATAATAATAATAATAATAAATTTTATTTGTATTGCACTTTACATTTCAACAAAATCTCAAAGTGCTACAAAATTCATAGTTAAAACAAAACCGTACAATAAAAACAGCATACATAGTTGAAACGAGACATTACAATAAAATAACATACGTAGTAAAAACAAAACAGTAAAATAGCCATAAAACCACACAGATAAAGTACTAACTAACACAGGGGAGTGGCGGCCTAGTGGTTAGGGCATAGAGCTTGGAATCCTGAGCCTCTGAGTTTGACCCCACTCCCACAGTCTGCCACTCTGGGTCCCTGAGCAAAGACCCTTAACCCCAAAACTGCTCCCTGGGCGCCACACGAAGGCAGGCCACTTCTCCTCAAGGGAATGGTCTAAACCAGCGGTCCCCAACCTTTTTTGCACCACAGACCGATATATGTCAGACAATATTTTTGTGGACCAGGGGGCGGGGGGGTGGACGGACCGTTTTTTACTTGATCGTATTGAAGTAAAAAACGAGTTTTGAGGATGAGTTTTGAACTGAATTAACCTGTGTCAAGAGGCACAGATGCACAGACTGATGTAATTGGGAGAGAATACTGCAATTTTTTATATTTTTCAAAATAAAACATCACTCAGACTCTGATCGTCAATTAATTATTCTGTGCGGCAAGGTACCAAATGACCGACGGACCGGTATTGGTCTGCGGCCCGGTGGTTGGAGACCGCTGGCCTAAATGCAGAGATAGAGTTTTGTTGCTCTGTACTTGTGACAGTATAATCAAAATAGAAAATTATTATTTTTGATCAGGATTTGGCAGTCTAAAGTCAAAGAGACATGATCCACATTATGATGACATCCAAAACTACAAGAAAATAGAAAAACAAAATAGTAAATATAATTTTCCAGCTTAGGCGCTAATTAATCTTAGCTTGGATGCAGTTTTCTGGCTTTCATCTTTTCCTTTTTTTCGGCAAATAACAACTCGGAAACACTTTAAGTTTCCCCGTTAAGCTTTTCCATGAAGGCCTCACTTTATGACAGTAATATGGTGAAGATTCTCAGTCATCCAGGTCATAGTCATTCCGAAAAAGTTAGAAAACAATCCGCTGGACTTTGTTTCCAAGTTTGAAACTTGAAAAAAAAAAGTCCAGTGGATTGTTTTTAATTGTTTTTTTAAACTTTTTTAGAATGTTTATGATGAAGTTCCATGTTTGTACCTCAGGCGACCTGTCAAACATATGGAAGCTGGAAAAGATTTGCACCGATCTGATTGCTTTTCTCTCCTCTCTTGCAGCATGTGAGTATCCAGGCCTTCCTCCGGCAGTGACGGGGATGTGCGCTACAGTAGGCAATTTGACTTGAAAGGTTGCTGCGGTGGCCCCTGTGTGATGTAATGCTCCTTAAAGATCTCTCTGAAGTTCCAGCTGTGCAAATGGATTACAGCAGAGAGAGAGAGAGAGAGCGCTGGGGCCGTGGGAGGACGTCGCTAATAAATCATGTCATGTCATGTTAATTGTCTCCCAAAACATAGAGCCTGTTTGCAGGCATGCGAGCCCACGGCCGTGCAATTTTCAGCGAATTACCTAGCAATTATGTTTTTATCATTATCTGGTGTTTCCATAACCTTTCCTAATTTGTATCTTTCTTTTTTTCCATGATGTTTTTATTGGCTTTATTTGGACGTGGGAAATATAAAGGGGGTAGGTACTAAAACCTTCCATTACTTCATCTGAATTACTCCCATAGAGAGTCTCTATAATCTGAAGCTTTAACCAACTTTTTACACATGTTTGTTATGTTTAGAGGTTCTTGACGTCCACATGTTTGAAGCTTCATATCAATCTGTTTGTTCTCTGCAGGGATACACACCTCTGCACATTGCAGCCTTGCATGGTCATCGACACATTGTTGATCTACTCATTGGAACTTATGGTAATCGTTCATCTCAAATTTTCAGGTTTAACTTAAAAGCAGAAGCTGCTTTCAGGGCTTTCCTTTTTTTTTTAGTTGAAATGTTATGAAAACGACTTATCCTTAAAAGAATGACGCCAGGTTCCAAGATTTCTTTACTTTCGGATCAAGGGTTTTTCCTTTGAGCTTCTGCTTTAAGGTGTCAGTGAATAGATTATCTGCTGCCTCTCTCTGTGTTCAGGGGATTTTTGTCGTTGTTTTCAGGGGCAAAAGAAAACGTGCGGGACTACAGCGGCCGTCTTCCCTTCCATTATCTGAGTGTCAAAGACCTCGAAGGTGCGCAGGAAGACTGCGACCTGCGTGAGTGTTTCATGCTTTTTCAACATCACCTTTAAAAAGAAATAAATTGCATCTTATTTTTCCTTTATTTCCTTTTTATTTATTTAGTATGGGACATCTTTGTTTTTTTTCTTCGCTTTTTGCAAAAAGCCTTTTGAACTGAATCTTCACCATCCTTTAGGTTTTTATAGCTTAAATTAAAAGCATTATATATTTTATTAAGTCTAGGGCTGCAACTAATGATTATTTTGCAGATCGATTTGTCTGTTGATTATTTTTTTGATTAATCAATTAATAATCGGCTAGCCAAATGTTCCTTAAAGAAGATTACGTACGAAATTAAAACGGGTGAAACTAAAAGATTAATTGATCACTAAATTAGTTGAAGATTATTTCAAAAATCAGTCTTTTTTACGAGTTAATCCGTTTAATTTTTACAGCATTAATTAAGTCGATAATTTAGATGGAGTCCAGAGGTGGAAAGAGTACTAAAAAATTATAATTGAGTAAAAGTATCTTTACTTTGCCTAAATTCTACTCAGAGTGAAAGTAAAACGACTGCTTTAATAATAAATAAACACTATAGCTATGTTTTTATACTTCAAGATGTTATAGACATCCCAAATAAATGCCATTTGTCTTCGAATCAAAAAATGTAAATTATTTTAATGATCAGCCGGTCTGTTAATCGGCGTTCTGAGCAGAGCATAAGTACAAAACACATATTTCATTGCATTGACCTATAAATATAAAACCAGCCTTCAGTTTAAGTGAATTCATTTAATAAGGGAAAAATATCCATGTTATGTGGAAATTAGTGTTAATAAATCCACTGCTGCCAGTTTTTAACTCTACTGACTATTTCTATAAAACCAGAGGTGGAAAGGGTACTAAAAAATTGTAATTGAGTAAAAGTATCTTTACTTTGCCTAAATTCTACTCAGAGTGAAAGTGAAATTACCCATCTCAAAATTTACTCAAGTAAAAGTACAAAATTAATTCATTTAAAATGTAATATGAGTAAAAGTTACTTAGTTACTTTGAGTTTTTTAATGCAAAAAAAGGATGAGTCATGAATCGAATTGAACACAAGGTGTTTTAATGGATTTCAAGGCGTATTCCAGTGGACATCCACACTTGCAAAAGATCAGCTGGGCTAAAGAACTTACTTCCTCACAGCACAAGGACAGTCACAACCTGTACCATAAAGTGCAAACAATTTTCAATCCTACTGTCCAACGAACACCATGATAACTAACTTACCGCCACATTTTTTCGTAAATTGGATGTTGATGTTTTAAAAGCCGAAAGCTCCGTTTTGCTGGGCAGCCACATGTTGCACTGCATTATCACATTGTTCCCTTTTGTGTATTTGAAAACAAATAATCCTTCCAAATATGGCCAAAGGGTTTTTCTGGCTTTCGACTCCAGAATATGTAAGTTGTGATTAGCAACTGCCATCTTCCGAAGCGCAGCACTGGATTATGAGACAATACAAAGGGTCAATGCAAGGCAGGGCCACATTAAATTTTTTCACCATCAGTATTTTCTTTTATTTTTTACTCAGTAACGTGAGGAGGTTTTAAATGTAGCAAAGTAAAACTACTTAGGTTAAAATTTACTCGAGTAAAAGTAAAAATTACTCAGAAAATTACAAATTACTCATAAAAAGTACTCAATTACAGTAACTTGAGTAAATGTAATTCATTACTTTCCACCCCTGATGGAGTCTGATTGAAAATATATATATTACTGCTCATTATTTCATCTCGCATTGCCACAGCTTTATATGATAATATGTGATAATTTAGATATTGTAATTTCTATTTACAGGCAAACATTGTGATTTTATAGCAGCATCTAAAGACGAATAAAAGTCCTGAAGATAAATTCTTCTTTTATTGCCATAACATCTTTCACTTTTGATCTAGCCTTGACTTTGACTGTATTGATAAATAATTGTTTTTCACCCAATCCGTTTCTCACATTTATCAACAATGTTAACCATTTTTAGTTACCGTAGATTCCGGACTATAAAGCGCACCTGATTACAAGCCGCACGCTCTAATTTCAGAAAGAAAATCAATTTTGTACTTTTATAAGCCGCACCGGATTTGAAGCCGCAGGTTTCCCACGTTGTATGAGATATTTACAAATAAAGATATTACACGTGAATATTGTTTTAACGTTTGATTTAATCCGTATGATAAAACAAACAAATGCGGTACATATTATGAATGCTTTTTTTTCCAAATTACCTGTAACACATTTAAATATACGTATGTGTCGGTAACACGCAAATAACGTTGCATATAACGGTACTTTTAATAAACAACACACAGAACATTGCAGCCGACCAGGAAAAGTCATTAATCACTTACTTCTTCCTCCTGCGCACTAAAACCGTCAAAGTCCTCTTCCTCGGTGTCTAAATGGAACAGCTCCAGGATGCTGTCACTGACTTCAGTCTCATTCTTGTCGCTCTCACTTGAGCATTCGCGGTCCTCTTCATCCCGCAGCAGCCCAGCCTTCCGAAACCCGCCAGTGATGCTGGATGTTTTCACATGACTCCACGCATTGAGAACCCACTGGCAGACATCAGTGAAAGATGCCCTTCGCATGCGGCCAGTTTTTGTGAAGGATTTCTCTTTATTGGTCTGTTTTTCGCGCCATGAAAAAAAAAAAAGTATTAGCCGCACTGTATTATACACTCACCGGCCACTTTATTAGGTACACCTGTCCAACTGCTCGTTAACACTTAATTTCTAAGCAGCCAATCACATGGCGGCAACTCAGTGCATTTAGGCATGTAGACATGGTCAAGACAATCTCCTGCAGTTCAAACCGAGCATCAGTATAGGGAAGAAAGGTGATTTGAGTGACTTTGAACGTGGCATGATTGTTGGTGCCAGAAGGGCTGGTCTGAGTATTTCAGAAACTGCTGATCTACTGGGATTTTCACGCACAACCATCTCTAGGGTTTACAGAGAATGGTCCGAAAAAGAAAAAACATCCAGTGAGCGGCAGTTCTGTGGGCGGAAATGCCTTGTTGATGCCAGAGGTCAGAGGAGAATGGCCAGACTGGTTCGAGCTGATAGAAGGGCAACAGTGACTCAAATAACCACCCGTTACAACCAAGGTGGGCAGAAGAGCATCTCTGAACGCACAGTACGTCGAACTTTGAGGCAGATGGGCTACAGCAGCAGGAGACCAGACCGGGTGCCACTCCTTTCAGCTAAGAACAGGAAACCGAGGCTACAATTTGCACAAGCTCATGGAAATTGGACAATAGAAGATTGGAAAAACGTTACCTGGTCTGATGAGTCTCGATTCCTGCTGCGACATTCGGATGGTAGGGTCAGAATTTGGCGTCTACAACATGAAAGCATGGATCCATCCTGCCTTGTATCAACGGTTCAGGCTGGTGGTGGTGGTGTCATGGTGTGGGGAATATTTTTTTGGCACTCTTTGGGCCCCTTGGTACCAATTGAGCATCGTTGCAACGCCACAGCCTACCTGAGTATTGTTGCTGACCATGTCCATCCCTTTATGACCACAATGTACCCAACTTCTGATGGCTACTTTCAGCAGGATAATGCGCCATGTCATAAAGCTGGAATCATCTCAGACTGGTTTCTTGAACATGACAATGAGTTCACTGTACTCAAATGGCCTCCACAGTCACCAGATCTCAATCCAATAGAGCATCTTTGGGATGTGGTGGAACGGGAGATTCGCATCATGGATGTGCAGCCGACAAATCTGCGGCAACTGTGTGATGCCATCATGTCAATATGGACCAAACTCCCTGAGGAATGCTTCCAGCACCTCGTTGAATCTATGCCATGAAGAATTGAGGCAGTTCTGAAGGCAAAAGGGGGTCCAACCCGTTACTAGCCTGGGGTACCTAATAAAGTGGCCGGTGAGTGTAGGCCGCGGTGTTCAAACAGCGGGAAAAAATGTAGCAGCTTATAGTCCGGAATTTACGGTAAATATAACTGGAACTTTTTACATGTTATTTTAATGTGACCTTTTTAATCTAAGAAACATTGACCTACTGAGTTGCAGAGAAGCCTCTTTCCCTTAGGCACATTCCAGTTACTTCGTATTATAACTCCTACCCCCGATCCTAGATCCTTTCCTTAACCTTGCTCAGACCCAACAGTTAGAATTCTATCCAGGGTAGAATACGGACAGCCCTCAGCCTTACAGATGTCATTACACAATGCACACATGAATGATGCTGTTCAAATTAGGATTACAGTCTTCTAGAAAAAACTACAGAAAAGCATAATTTACATAACGTAGTTACAAAACGGTCTTAAATTGAAAGGCAACAGGACTTTATTTCAGTTTTTTGAAGATGTTTCTACGAGTTGACAGAAAGTTGTCAGACATGCTAACTCTATTAGCTTGTGGCTACTACAGGTGTTTAGACAATTATTTTGTAAGGAAGTCATAAAATTTACTCCTTTTTTGCGTTTAACTGATTCTTGGGTCTTTTGAAAATTTTCGTCTTTGTCTTTTTTTCCCGCTTTTTGAAACGGTTGCAGAATTTCAAGTCGCTCAAGCCAGGGAGAGGAACAAGAATAGGAAGTTGGTGTCGTTGTTCCACTCTAAGAAGAAGTGGGGTTCGGCGGAGGAGCTGGCTCCGATAGAGGAGGAGAGGACGGCGTCCCATCAGCTGTCCCTTCCTCCTTTTAGGCCCAGGAAGTTCTCCCGCTGAGGAGAAAAACAACTTCTTCACTTACATTCACACGCAAATATGGACCAAAAGTAGTGCCGTATATCATCTATAAGAGCACCCTTAAACTCACACAAAACTAAACAGTTCAGAACAACTTGAACGAAGAAAGGAAACAAGATGCTGCAACTTTAAATCAGTTAAAATCACTGCAAGTGCTGCTTTATTTACATTATGCTTTTCACTGAAGTATTTTGAAGTTTTTTTTAAATGTTACTTTATGTTACTTACGTAGCGTGTTACAGGGTCACATCGGCTCAGGCTGCATGATTCTCAGAGCTTTGCTTTTTTATTCAGAGTAATTCAGGCTAATTTGTTACGCTGGAGATGAGTGAAACAAATTTAATTACTCTGCAGTATTTTTACTCAGCATTTTTACCTAATTGATATTTGTGGAAAAAAAAAAAGAGGAGAAAACATGTTTAAGTTGATTAAATTTGTATAGCATTGCAGCATTAATGAGTGTAAAAACACATTGGTCAATTCTTGAAAAATGTTTATTAAATTCACTACCCGTTTTAAACATATAGTGTTTAAAAATTTAGGTAAGTTGGTTTTCTTAAAATAGGTGTATTTTCTCTTGATTTCAGCAAATGGTAACATATGTCAGGGGAAAAAGAACATATATAAGGTTAAAAAAAAATGTTAAAGGCAAAATTAATGATTCCACTGCTCAGATTAAAGGCAAATACACTAATTTTAAAAACTTTTAACTCATTTTTAAATACTTTAGTAAATATTTGTAAATGAAAATCCATTTTATTTTACAAAAAAAGATATAATCCACTTATAACATTAGCTTTATAATCATCATCTGGGAATCCAAGTAAAATAATAATAATAAAAAAACAGCTACTTTCATGCGAGACGAATCAACTTTGTTTTGTATGAAAGACAAAACGGCTCAGAAATAAAACCTGTAGATGTTTTCATCAATAAAACAAGGGGAACTAAAAGAGGAAAGGAAAATTCGTCATTTTAATATTTAACATTTTTAAACTTTGATTTAAAATTATTTTTGAAATGTGAACTTTTTGAGAAACTTGTGGAGAAAAAAACCCCCAAACAACTATCCTGGATTACAGATCTGTTCAGTTACGTATTTTAGTTAGTTAGTTATTTTTAGTTGCTGTTCTTTAAAGGTCCAGTTGCCATGTTTTTTCTGCAAACCGATTATTGTCACTGTTTTTATTTATTATAAAACTGAATCACCATTGGTTGCATTTTTATCTTGTGTATTCTGTATCCCGCTGTTCACCATATTTATACGATACAAATATTTTTGAATGAAGCTTTCTTTTGTATGAAACTGATGAGTCTTTGTTTTATTTAGCTAGTTGTTGGAATCCGCTGCTGCTTCCAGTTTGTCTTACTTTTTTATTTGTTTGCCCTACTTTCTACCCAGTGAGGGGAGTTTCCAAGCAGCTTTGATCTCATTTGAACTACCTGACTTTGTGGGCTACAGATGGAGTAAATATGGCCCCCCTCTCACCCTCCACACAGCTTTGGACTCCTAATTCCTGATTAACTGAGAAAGGCCCAGCACTTGCTTTTGGATCTTGGATATCAGACGACACAGAGGGGAACAGAGGCGAGTGTTTTTGTGCTTCATTTTTGAAGCGGGATGTTGGAGGGATAAGAGGGGAGTTTCTGTAATAGATACTTATCTCACTGCCCTCAAGCCCCTCAAACAAAGTCCCCTTCTGAAGAGATTATAACCCAGGGAGGGCACATTAACTTTAATCCCATGCTTTGAGGCCTTGCACCCCCAACACCAGGCCTCTGCCCCACTTATTTTAACCCTTCTGTTGTTATGTTGGAGAAGGAGGTGAGGGGGGGGGGCTTGTTTCTAGTGCATGTATGTGTTAGTTCTATGGCTACACACGAAGGTAATGTGTGTGTGTTTGTATGCGAAGCGGGGGGGTCTGTTTCAGTAGCACGCTGACTCTAATGAAAAGTGTTGAGGGGTGCATACTGCTGTGTAACTGATTCCTCTCTCTGAGGAGATTAGGCGCTACATTGTTGGTTCGGTTGCTCATTTCCATGAGAGCGCAGCCTCCCACCAGCGCCTGCTCTGCTTTGTTATTTTGAGTCGGGACAACACTGGGCCCAAAGTCCCGGGCTTCCTTGTTGCTTTTGTTTTACAAATGGGCCAAAATGTAGATGTCACATCACAGATGCTCAATAACCTCATTAGCTACTCTCTGTGAGGCTTTAGAGAGAAAATAATGGATGCATGACCTTCACTTTGTTCACAGGGCACCAGTTGCGGTAAAAGGGGGGAATCTGGTGATGTTCTGTTTTCCTGTAAATTTACAGAAGAAAAACTTCAGTTTGTGTGTTTTTTTTTTTTTTTTAAGTATACCTATATGTTAAATTAACTGTTAATGAAAACAAAAGAAAAGGTTGTAAATGTAAGGCAGTAAATGTGAATAAATGTAAGAGTTATGAGCACTGTTGGGGAATAACGGATTGCATGTAACGACGTTACGTAATTTAATAACAAAAAGAAGAGAAACTGTAATTCCTTACAGTTACAATGAGAAAATAGGTAATTCAGTTACAGTTACTTTAGAAAATATTAAGAATTACAAATTTTGTTACATTTTTTAAAAAATATGAAGAAAAACCTTTGCGAAATATGTAATGATATTTTTATTGCTTCGCGCCCTGTATCGCCATTTCCCGCTACGGCTCCTTGTCTCTATCATATTTGCCACTCTGATGATCCATCCTGGGCTGGTGGAGCCTCCTTGAGGAACAGCAAGCGAGCGGACGGTTCTATTTCAGCTCAAGCAGCGCATCAAAAATGTACGGAATAGGATTAGGGCCACTGAAAAAAAAAAAAGTTAACTGACTTTTAAATTTTATTTCAGTTTAACAGAATTCTGACTTTAATCTCAGAATTCTGAGAAAAAAGTCAGAATTCTGAGATTAAAGTCGGAATTCTGAGATTAAAGACATTAAAGTCAGAATTCTGAGAAAAAGTCAGAATTCTGTGAAAAAAGTCAGAATTCTGAGAAAAGTCAGAATTCTGTGAAAAAAGTCAGAATTCTGAGATTAAAGACATTAAAGTCAGAATTCTGAGAAAAAGTCAGAATTCTGAGATTAAAGTCAGAATTCTGAGATTAAAGACATTAAAGTCAGAATTCTGAGAAAAAGTCAGAATTCTGAGATTAAAGACATTAAAGTCAGAATTCTGAGATTAAAGTCAGAATTCTGAGATTAAAGTCAGAATTCTGAGATTAAAGTAAGAATTCTGAGAAAAAAGTCAGAATTCTGAGAAAAAGTCAGAATTCTGAGATTAAAGACATTAAAGTCAGAATTCTGAGATTAAAGTCAGAATTCTGAGAAAAAAGACTTAAATGTCTATATAAATATGAATTTGCTTTGCTATCTAAAGACAACAGGTGCAACAGAGTAATTTCTGCAAATGCATTTACTGAATGTAAACACTTATTTTTTTTCTTAATTTCCTTTTTTAAATTTAAATAGTTTGGTGCAGTTTTCCTTTTTTAACTGTAGTGAAATGAGGAATGAATTGATCAGATAATGAATGAATCCATATTAGTTATATGTTTATATCTCCTACATTTATTTGCAGAATCCAAACGTGCAGAATCCAGAGTTCCCTCCTCCTTGGTGAGCATTTAACCACGGAGGACAGTTGCTCGCACTATTCCACTGACTTGGCAGCCTTTCCTCCCATTTTTATGTATTTAAGCAGGTTTTTATGTGTCAAATTCATGCAAGTGCTTTAGTTTGCATTGGAAGGAAAAGTCTACAAATTATATGGATAAACTTTTCTGGACATTTTCATTTATCAGCTTTTACTTCAACTGCTCTAATAAAATGCAAGCAAGCCAAATTCCATTAAAGTTTAAAAACAATCCACTGGACTGGTTTCCAAGGTTTGAAGACGTTTCGCTTCCCCTCCAAGAAGCTTTTTCAATTCAAATACTTTACTGTATTTTATGTATGAAACCTGAAGCGGACTAGGCCACCGTTCACACTGCAGGTAAATGTGGCCCAATTCTGATCCTATTGTGGTGAAGCGATCAGGTCAGACTGTTTTAGAACAACCGTTGACGCCCCTCAGACCTGTAACTGACTTATTCACTTCACATATGAGCCACAGTCATATGTTGTCCTGAATCTGACTCATTTCTGTTTTTTTTTTTTTTATTATTTAGAATGTGATTTCAGTGTGAACGAGCAATGTCAATTAGGTGACACTTCACTGGAAAAAAAATCGAAATCTGGATAAATCCTTTTTTTCTTAAAATAAGTGTATTTGTTTTTGGATTGAGGAGGTAAAAGAGCCAATGAATGAAGAAAATTTACATTTAAAATAATAAAACACAATTGATTTTGTGTTATTTTAAGTGCACTTTATCTAATCATCTTATTTTAAGAATAAAAATACTCATTCCATTGGCAACCATCTAATTTACCTACTCAAATTAAGGGTAAATACACTTTATTTAAGACATTTTTACTTATTTCTAGATAATTCTTTTAGTGTTTGGAGCCACTTTCCATCAGATTTGTCACAGTTTTGTGCCGCCCAGCAGGAAGTTAGTCCCAGTTAGCAAAACAGACAGAAGCTGGGATACTAACACTGTAAAAACTGAGGGAAAAATTGTTTAAATTTTTTTTGAAAAAAAGTAACTTCCCTTCATTTAAGCAGGTAGATAAGATAATCTGCCAATGGGATTGTTATTTTTGCCCTTACACTGCAAAAAATGGCAATCTGTATCAGTTATATTTGCTTAAATTGAGTGAATTTTGTCTTGTTTTGAGGAGATAAGTGAGACACCTTGCCAATGCAACAAGACAATTTACATTTAAAATAAGAAAAAAACAATTGCTTTGTCTTATTTCAAGTGAATATTATCTAATAGTATTATTTTAGGAGTAGAAATACTGATTCCATTGGCAGATTCTCTTACTTACCTGCTCAAATCAAGGAAAATGAGCTTATTTCAAGGAAAATTTACTTTTTTCAGTTTTTGCAGAGTTCAGAGGTGACATCAAGATCTTAGAGGATGTCAAACAGTTAAAAATGTAAATGGTTTTAGGAACCATCAGGGTATGGGAAATATTCCATACACGGCCATTCAAATAGAGGACTTTAAAATGCTGTAGAGGTTAGTGAGCAGGTGATGATCCTTTCTCTGCACAGCAAAAAGAAATAAGAAGTAACTCTTAAATTAGGTGTATTTACCCTGAATTTATGTGGGTAAATAAGATGATGTGCCAATTGAATGAGTACTTTTACTCTTAAAATTTAATTATTAGATAATATGCACTTGAAATAAATTATTAACTTTAAACATAGTCTTGTTCCAATGGCAGTGTCTCCCTTACCTCCTCAATTCACGACAAAATACACTTATAAAAAAAAAAGACTTATTTAGATTAAAAATTTTTCAAGTGTGTACAATGAGCTTTCCAAACCTTTCAGCTTCTGACCCACATAATCGTACCAGTGACCCGACCCGTTGGTTGAGCATGCAAACATCCCTTCAAAATCGTTGAACCACACGTGCTATAATCTCACAAACAGCATCACCAAATAAAATAGATGGTTTTATCCATTTGTAAATAATGTTTTGATAAACTTAAACAGAAGTATTGTTCATTATAATTTCTGTTATGGATCTGTTGATGAGCCCAACTCTAGGAACCAATGGTTGAATACATCAGATGACATCAAGTAGAGCTGAGAGGAGAGATGCTAACATATGTGATTAAAAATTTGTCCTTGACATGATAAAGTTCTGAATAGCACCCCCAACGCTAACTCTTGCTGAAACAGGACCAGGTTTCCCTAAAACACCATAATAGATAGTTTTATTCTAATTTATTCATGCATTTCACACACAGAACCTGTGAAACAATAAACGGCTGCTTAAAAGATGAGATCTCCATTCCAAAAAAGTTTTTTTCTGAAATCCACTGGACTTTGTTTCCAAGCTGGTAGACGTTTTGATTCCCATCCAGGAAGCTTTTTCAATTCAAATGTCAGAAAAAGCGTTAAGTTGCTTTATACAGTAGCCCAACAAAGCCTTGTTTTGCTAACCTGACTCCGCCAGATGGATTTGCTCTGCATATCCATCTGGAAACCTTCCGTTGAAGTAATTTTGGGAAGGGGCGAAAATACTGGTTAGCTGATTGGCCTATGTTGGTGATAGACGGGCCAAATAAACCAATCAGATCAACGAAGCATATGGCGTACTAACAGAGCGACGACGAAAACACAAGCCAGGCTACTCTTGCCGAAACCAGTCGGGAGAAGAGCAAAAA